GGGGGGGGGGGGTGGGCAGGAGAGAAAAAGTGGGTGAGGTCCAAGCTGACTGTTCCAGCCTGCACTTGGCATCAGAGGAGCCCCTCCCTGCTGTGTGTACCCCCATCTGTGCTGGGGTCCCGGCCCACTTTCTGCCCCAACCAGCCTGAGCGGCTGAGAAGCACAGGGAGGGAGGGAGGGAGGGAGGGCAGCCCCTCTCAGCCTCCCAGCAGGCCCCGGGGTACCAGGCAGCCCTCGGGTCCCAGGAGAAATAGCCTCCGGATGGGCACCAAGCCAAGGGATCCAGAAAAGTGGGACCACTTTTCCTTCCAGGGCCCCCCACTCAAGGAAGGGGGCTTCATTCCTAGTGCCCACCTTGGGCAACACTGTGCCCACCCTGAAAAGGGGCTTGTCACTGGGGAGGGGTTGGGGGTCTGGTCCCTGCCACCCTGGCTTATTTTCAGGTCAAGAATTAGGGATAAAAACAGACTATGGAGGTAGGAGTTGGGGTGACAGGGAGCTGAGAACCCATGAAGGCCCCTGGTCCCCAGTCCTTAACGGGTGGCTTCATCTTTCCCAACCCCCTGGGACTAACCCAAGGTTGGGCTGACATCCCAGGGGGCGGGGGAGTGGGAAGGAACAGGACACTTAAATAAGATACCGTTTATTTTTTAAAAAATTAAAAAATTATGCCGACATTATTTCATCCATCCCCAGGTCTGCCCCCTACCTCCCACCCACCTCCCAAGGGCTGGGTTCCCTCCTTCCCTGGCTGTCCTGTGTAGTAAAGAGAAAACAATGGACTGGCTTTGTTAGGCACAGGGGAGGGGACGCAGACCCAGGGAGAGAAAGAAAGATGCCACAGCAACTTAGCCCTGCATCACGGCAACCCCAAGCACACTGATATAAAAACATTCGTATAAAAAGGGGGGGCGTGCTGGGCACAGTGCCAAGGGTGAAGCGCTCTGGTGCCCAGAGACCTAAGTCCCCCAGAGGGAAAGCCTGATAAAAAACAAGGAGGCAGGAAAAGGCGGGGAGAGATGTTCACAGGAGAGAGTGTCTTGGGAGGGCTGGAGGTGGGGCCAGGCAGCCTGGGAGCTCCCCCTGCCGCTTCCAAGTCAGGGTGCCCCCAATTCCTGCCCCACCCTGACTTTCCTCTCTCAGGCCCACTGGGGCCTGGACTGTGGGCATCTATCCACAGCAGCGTTAAGGGGCTCTGCCCAAGGGGCCCACTAGCCTGAGGTGGTCCAAAAGCCTCGGCAGGTGACAGCTCAGAAGCCACGGCTCATCCCACAGCTCCCAGAGGGAGGAGGGAGACTGGGAGGCAGAGGAGGAGGGAGAGAGAGACTGAGAGACAGAGGGAAGTGGTGGCCGAGGTGGGCAGAGCCGGGGGTCAGGAGGCGGCGATGGCAGTGCCGCCCCCCAGCTTGACAATCATCTGCTGGCAGTCGCTGCACGAGCGCCGGTCGCCCGCCTTCTCCAGGGTGCGGGCGGCCTCGGCCAGCAGCACCGCCCGCTGGCCCGGCGGGGAGAGGAAGGGGAGGGGCAGGTGGCGGCAGGCCAGCAGGATGGCGGCGGCCCGCTCTCGCTGGCCGGGCCAGGCGTCCGCCTCTCCTGTGGGAATGATGAGACACGCACTCGCTGAGATGAGAGCCCGCCAGGACGCAGGCGCTGTTCCCAGGGCTCGGTGTGAGCTGGTTTATTTAATCCTCACAGCCCCCAAGTGAGGGAGGTTCCAGCGCCCTGCCTAGTTCACAGAGATGAGCTGAACCCGCCGGTGCCACAGGCTATTACTCCGAGGCGGGGCCGAGGTGTGGCCCATCAGCGCAGCCGTCCCCGCCCCCTCCTCACTCGGGGGGGGGGGGG